ACATATATACACTTGTATGTATATATATTTATTTGGACTGCAGCTTCGTAGAAGTGAGAATCATTTCTCAGTCCCTAAAGATGTTATATTAATAAAGCAATAATGATGAAAATAATTCATGTTAACATCCTCCATGTAAAGGCATTCCAGTGACTTTTTATAGGGATCATATTGTGTATTTCTGTTGATTGCTGACTTTGAAGTGAAAGACAGTACCTGTTTAATGACATGGATTTGACATGGATGATGCCATGTGATTGTAATGCTGAGAAGTCCTGGGGAATCTGATCTGTAAAGAAACACTAACATCACTTGGAAGGCTGACACAAGAGGATTACTGCGAGTTCAAGGCCAGCCTGGGACACAAAGTGAGTTCAATGCCAGCCTGAACTACATAGTGGAACCCTGTCTCAGACCCCCCCCCCCACAAAATACAAAAAACAGTAAAAAACATAAAAGTCACTCTGTGCAGTATTACACAGGAATTTGTTTTGCATATCATTCACTGCTTAAAACATCATGTCAATTTTCTGCATTAGGAGGACTTCCTATAGCCCAGCCTACTCCACCCACACTTGCTGGAGCTTCTGTTTAGTACAAAGAAGGAAGCTTATTTCTTCCAAATAGATGTTTCTGTAAGTTTGCATTTAGGCTTGGGATTTAGGTGGTACAAGTATACCAAATGGGTGCCCAGAGAATCAGAAGACTATAGAAGAATATGGCATTATTGTTATTATCTTAACTGAATATAATTGCCTTATTAATCAACATTTGCATAAGACTTGGTAAAGCACTTAGCTAATACATGACTATATTTGCCATTTAATTCATGTAGAAGATTTCTATTCAGCATTTATATAGCACCTATTGGTTTATGATGCTAATATAGTAGATTCATGTTTCTGTTAAGGCTTAAATGAAAGAAGTTGAAAGCCAAGTACATTATATTATCTTTTTTATATAGAACCTTTCATCACGAAGGATTTCAAATTGCTTTACAAAGTACAGTGAAACCCTTTTACAATGAATTCCTGAGGGGCAGCTCTAGTGTGTTAGCTGCGGCCTTTCATTGTTTGAGTATTATGTTCGGCACAGTGGGACTGATGGAGAAGGGCAGATTTTAAGATGGTGCAGGCCCAAGAAACTCAGGTGGTGTTATTTGCCAAAGTGTCCACAGTCCAGAGCAAAGAAAAAAAAATGAAACAATCCTAGTGACCTATAAGTGTGCAATTTTTAGTCTTACAATATAAAGAAAACATGAACAAGGAAAATATTTAATCCAAAGACCAAATCACCTTAATATGATAAGTGAGAAGCACATCGTATGCAAAAACCTGATAGAAAATATTGTGTTTGTTAGTTAGCACTCTTTCTCAAAAGCTCAGTTTTCCTTTCTTTTTTAACAGTTTGTTCAGGTACAACATTTGAGGGAGTGTACAGTCCTGGAGGTCCCCATATGTTCCCTCCTTTTTACTAAGAATACTGTATCCTAGACACCACTCTCCTGACTTTTAACACATACTAAATTCACCCGTTTTTTTATGCAAATGAAATTACGTAGTCTGTGCTCTTTTAGGATGGATTCTTTTAAGATTAGAAGTGTGACATTAGTCACATAATTGTAGCAATGTACTGTGTGAATGTACTGTATTCTATTCACAAATCATATTCGAAACATTACAAGAAATAACCGGACTAGTATCTCGGGATATAGGCATGAAAGTCTTTGACAAAATATTGGCAATATAGAAAAACGATTATACACTCTGTTCAAGTAGGATTTATCCCATAAGTGCCAGAATGCTTTAACATCCACAAATCAATTAGGATAGTACACCACATACATAGAATGTGGACAAAAGCCTCATGATCACTGCAATAGATACATAAAAAGCCTTTGACAAAATTTAACACTCTTTCATGAGGAAGACACTCAACAAAGCAGGAATGATGAAAGATCATTTTTTCCCTTAAAATCAGGAATGAGCTAATTATGCCTACTCTTGTCACTTCTATTTAACATCGTTAATCTGGAAAGTTTAACAGGGCAGTTTGACAAGAAAATGAAATAAAAGCTCTGCACACTGGAGATGAAGTAAAACTATCTCTGTTTCAGATGACTTGATGTTGTGTATAGAAAAGAAATCCATCATAAAAGCAATTAAAAAATAAATGAATTTGGCAAAATTGCAGAATACAAGGTCAATACTCAAAAATCAATTAGATTTCCGTAAAGTACCAATGAACTAAGATAATATTAAGAAAATAATTCCTTTTATAATGCAATCAGAAAGGAATATATTTGGTGAAAAGAATGAAAACCCATATTCTGCAAACTATAAGATATTGCCAAAACAAATTAAAGAAGATATAACTAAAGGAAAAGACCTATGTTCATGGATAGGATGTTATAATATTGTTAAGAAGACAAAATTTCTCCAATTGGCGTGCAGATTCTACACAATTTTTTTCAAAACCCCAGCTGACTTTGCAGAAATTGATAAACTGATTTTTAAATTTGTGTGAAAATGCAGAGGGTGCAGAATAGCCAAAATAGTCTTAAAAATGAGGAACAAATTTGAAGGACTCATACATTCCAATATGAAAACTTACTATAAAGCTCAATAATCAATTGAGTAGGGTACTCTCTTAAGGATAGAATGTATGGATCAGTGGATATAATTGGGAAGCCAGAAATACACTCTTGCATCTACAGCCAATTGGTTTTTACAAAGGTGCCAAAACAATTTTATAGGGAAAGAAGTAGGCTCTTTAAATGGTGTTAGGACAATTGAAATCCAGATGCAAAAATGAAGTTGAACTCCCACATGACAGTACATACAACATTAACTCAAAATGGATCAAAGCCCTCAATGTGAAGTAAAAACTATAAAGCTTTTGGAAGAAAATGGGTGAATTTTTGTGACCTGGATTAGACAATGTTTTTTATAACTGACCAAAAGAAAAACGAGTAAACTGAGTGTTACCAAAATTAAAAAATGTTATGCCTCAAAAGACCACCAAAAAACTTGAAAAACAACCATAGAATGTGAGAAAATTTGGAAAAATTGCAAGTCTAATCCTATTCTGACCTGTACCTAGAATATATAAAGATCTATTAAAATTTCATAAGAAAAAGACAACTAGATTGAGAAATAGGCAGTAAGTTTAATACACATTTCTCCTAAGAAGATACTCATATGGCTGACATATATACATGGGAAGATCCTCAGCATCATTAGCCATTAGGGAAATACAAACTTCAACCGCCATGAGCTCTATACTCAGTAGGATTGTTAGTATCAAAGACAGACAATCATTATGTTGGTGAGCACTGTGGTTTGGATCTGGAATATCTCCCCAAAGCCTCATGCACTCAGAGACAGGGATTTTAGAAGGCGACTGGGTGACCAGGGACTGTGGCTGACTTGCTGTTGGGAAGTGAGTCTCTGGGGGGACAGGGAATGATGAATCTCCCTCCCTGACTCCTTTCTTTTCTCTTTGCTTTCTGGTCATCATGACATAAACAGTTTTCCCTTGCCCCCATTCACCATGCCCTTTCTTTGTTGACACTTGTAGAAGTAACCATGTATCAAAATAAACCTCTCCTCCTTAAAGTTGTAGGTGTTGCATATTTGTGCCAGCGATGAGACAGTGACTAAGACAGTGGACTAAGATGTGGAGAAATTAGAACTCTTAGATACTGCTAGTGAGACTGCAAAAGGATACAGCTACTTTGGAAAACAGTCTGCAGTTCCTCAACTGGTTAAGCAGAGTTACAATGTGGTCTAACAGTTCCACTCCTAGGTATATATCTGAGAGAAATGAAATAGTGTACACATTCACAAGACTGTAAATGAATGTTTATAGCAGCTTTACGTCAATCGCCAACAAGTAGAAAAAACCCAATGCCCCTCAAATACAATGCAATATATACAAATACAATGCAATATATCCATGCAATGGAATATTATTCAGCAATAAAAAGAAAAGAAATAGTGCTATAAAGTATATGAACTTTGAAGTATGTTATGCCATATGAAAGAAGCCAACTACAAAAGGCAATGCCTTGTAAGTTTCCATTTATGTGCAGTGTCTCCAGAACAGGCAAATCTATTTGGAAAATAGGGACCATGAGTTAGTGGAGTGGCAGCTCACAGTTACGGGGCTTCTCTGGAATACAATAAAAATGTTCTCAGGTTGATTGTGGTGATGGACACATAACTCTGTGAATACATTAAAAACTATTGAATGGTGCACTATAGCTGGGTGAATTGTATAGTGTGTGAATTACATCTCAATAAAGCCATTAAAATAGCTTTGTTTCTAAATTACAAAATCAATTCACATTCTTTGCGGAAACTTATAAAAGGCTGAAAACACAAAAGTGTAAAAGTCGCCATCATTCCACAGATAACAACAGTTCACATTTTGGAGTCAATCAAGGACACACTTTGCTCCGCTGAACTTTACAGTGAACAGTCGAGAACTTTATTGGCTCTCCTGGTCCTCCAACTATGCCTCGGCGTCTGACTTTGCTTGACACAGGCCTGATACTGTGGAAATGCATTCATTCTGAGGTGTTTAACTTTAGCAAGTGAGACTGCAAATGAATCTATTGGGGCTTTGCTGGCCTGGGACACTCAAGGTTATGTTTCAGTGGAACATTGCCAGAAAGATATGCAAAAGCCTTATCTTGTACATCTCAGATCTGGAGGAAAAAAAGGAAACTTTACTTTTAATTTGTATGCTTTTTAGTCTTTCAATTTTTATTGGAAGCATATATTGCTTTTGCAACAACGATAGTAGGAGCAAAAAAAAAAAAATTTAGAAAGACCACAGAGAATTCATTTTTAAGAAGGACCCTGTTTTTTTTTTTTTTTTTTTTTTTAAAGATGATCATACGGGGCTGGGGATTTAGCTCAATGGTAAAAAGATGATCATTCATTTTCATTGGGATGTAATTTATTAAACGCTCTCTGAATTTACATCTGTTACAGGTGGAAACAAGGAAGGTTCCGCGTCTCGAGTCTCGGTATTCACTGCGGAGCAGAGAGAATGTTCCCGTTTGAAATTCCCACCGTCTAGCAGCTGCCCTGCGCGCCTTTTCTCCAGGCCTCACCCTGTGGACCAGGAGCTGAAAGACCTGAAATCCATTTCACCCGGAACTATGTGCATGCAGGCTGTCTTCGGTGTCTTTTTTTCTAATGTTAATACTGCCCATTGCGAGGGGCTAAAAAAGTCAAACCGTTCCCTCGCCTTAGTGTTTAACTTCTTCCTTCCTCTGCCAGGTCTGAGAGCTGAAAATTGCCTTCAGTGGTTTTTCCAGCAAAATAGCACCTTTTACAACTTACAGTAGAAGTTGATTCCGGGAAAGTTTTACAATCTCAGCTTATATCTGAAACTATTCTCTTACTGGTGCCCTGTGCAATAATTTAAGCCAGTATGAAGCAAAATTTAGCACATTTTAAAGTGGAAAAAAGTAAGTTTTCCTGCCAGTTTGGAGAGGGAGATTAAAAGTAAAAGAGCCAAGATGGTTCTAATTCCCCTTGGCACAGGGTCTGTCTGGGGGCAAAACAAAGTGATCTTGTGTCAGGAGACTGCACAGGAAAGGCCGTGGCGGTGCTTCTGGCCTCTGTACCAAGGTGTGGCAGGGTACCAGCCCTCACGTGGCCAGCTGTTTCAGCTGCCTCCCCAGGAGAGATGTGATAAAATGTGCAGACACCGCAGGGGAGCCCCCAAGGACTCTCTGGTGTTAATTTTGATCTTAACCTACAAGGATGGAGATGGAACAGGTAACTTGTACTGAGCGTCCTTGCCTAGTAGTTGAACAACTTCTCAGTATCCACCCTGTTCACCAACTTCTTCCTCCTTTCCTCTCTTCCTTTTTTGAGAAGGACATTATAAATTTGGAGGAACGCTATGTTGCAATGTAATTGGCTCTTTTTTTTTTGGTACCGTAGATCGAACTCACGATCTTGTGCTTGCCAGGACAGGTGCTTATGCCGTGAGCTAAACCCCCAGCCCAATGTAATTGGCTCTTAATTCATGACTCTATTACTGTTTCTGCTTTTTAGAGCATATTTCTGATGAATGAATAGAATCACTCTCCCTAAGAGCACCTTTTTTTTTCCTTCGTCTTTTTGAGACAGGGTTTTACTCTGCAGCTCAGGATAGCCTCGAACTCCCTTTGTAGCCCAGGCTGGCCTTGAACTCACAGTGGTCAACAAGCACTTGGTTACAAGAGTTGGTGAACAGTGTAACTTTTATTTAGTGTTTGTAAGGTCACATTTGGTGGGGCATGCTGGGAATGGAATGCGCTTGCCAGGGCATTGTGCTGCTAAACTATACCCTCCGGCCTTTTTTTTTTTTTGTCTTTTTGAAATAAGGTTTCACTATGCAATTCAGGCTGGCCTTAAACTCACTTTTTAGCCCCAGGCTGGTCTTGAACTTGCAGCAATCCTCCTGCCTCAGCCTCCCGAGTGCCAGGATTCCAGGTGTGTGCCACCATGCCTAGCTACAAGGTCATATTGAAGACTTCATACCCACAAAGTTGCTGCCAAATGTTATTCCCACATCCACTCACATTCACAAGTCACTCAATATAGGTGCTGATAGAAATAGGGTCATTCGTGTTCCGAAATAAGGTCTGATTTCCAGTATTTTGCTTCTGTATCAAGGCCACCTTCTTTGTTCCTACCAACTGTCACTGCTATGAGATCCATGTTTTTTTGGGGGGGAACCCAGTTAAATGTACCCACATTATGTTTCAACTTCCAAGGTGTCATTAGCTGACCTGATAAAACTTGATATCTATCACGTGTGTGGTGTGAAATGAGTTTCTTCTTCCAGGGAGTCCATGATCACATTTTTAACTGGCATCTTCTGGGATCTCAGCACCTTGAGTCAAAGGACTTAATCCAATAATGTGATTGCAGGCATTATAATGGGCCCCTGAGAAAATGCTAACCCACCACCAAGGAGAAAATGAATTCATTCATCCATGTATCCCTACTATAGTACTCAGTTTAAAAAAAAAAAAAATTTGGAGTCATTTCTTCTCCTTGAAGTCCTTGTGCTTTAAGGGACCTCCTCCCTTCCCCAACTCAAGGGACGGGACATGATGGGCTTAGGCATGTTTCACCTATCCTATTCCTCTTACTGGTGCTGATCCATGATGGGGCATACAACTTCAGCTGATCTAATTAGGGTAAATATCCAAAGTTTGCTCCTCAATTACTGGATCAGACCCAAGAGACATGCTATAGTCATCATGACTAGAAGCTGTCATATGAGCACTAGAGGATGCATCTTTTAGCTGCATCCAGAAATGTAGAGAAGTAGAAATAAATAGGTGTCGGTGTCGCTCCCGGCCGGCAGGAAAAACACACGACAGATTCTGACGGTGTGCAACCTTGTCTTTATTTGTCTCCGCGTGGGCCCCGCGAGGCCTCTGCTCTGCCACCAGTCCTTTCTTACCGGTGGACTTTCTCTATCTCTCTCTGTGCTTCTCTCTCGTGGCGGGAGAGGCTCTCACTTTTATAGGGTAACAGTGGCCAATCAGTTCAAAGCGCGCGATGCGGGCTGATTGGCTAACATCAGTTGTTGCTAGGCAGACTATCTTACAGAGCGGGTTGTTTAAGTCGCCAGGGCAATCAGGGGGCAGGAAGCAGGCGCCAACTTGGCTCACTCGATGGGAGGGGTAATCTAGCTCAGGCTTTGCTCTTTCTTACAGGCCTCACGTCCGCCAAGTAAGGCGACCAGGCTCGGCCGCGGCTCCCAACAAATAGGGTCCAGGAGAATGACACTGAGCCCCCAGGTCAAGAAATTCAAAGCCCCCTTACAGTGTCTTTCAGTCACATGAATCATTAAATACTTGTATAAGTCTGTTTCTAGTTGCTATAACAAAATACACAAAGCTGTGTACTTACAGGAAGAAAAGAGATTCATTTACACATTTTGGGAGGTCTGAGACATGGTGCTAGCTTCTGGTGGGGTTCTCGTGGTGAGAGCTCATGTGGGAAAGAGGCAAGAAAAGGCAGGAAGAGGTTTAGAGCTCAGTCTCGTTCTTTTATAATCATGCTCTCAAGAACTACTAACTTATTCTACAAGGCCTACGTCAATCACTTCCTAGGGCAATGCCCTAAAAGAACTATTTACCTTATCCCAAGCCACCTCCTAAAGCTTCCACCAGCTCCCAACACCAAGGACCAAGCTTCCAACACGTGGACTCTTGAGTGACAGTCTCACAACACCATGTCCGAATTGTAGCAATATCTCATACATGTGGTCCAAGTGTGAGCAACATTAGCATTAGTCAGGAGCTTGCTAGAAAAGCAAAATCTTAGGTCCTACAATAGACTTATTGAGTCAGAACCTGCATTTGAATAAGATTTGCCAGGTAATTAATGTGCACTCTGAAGTTTAAGGAGCCTTGCCCTGTCTTACGGACTCTGGCTTTCTTTAACTTGGAATTTAACGATTATTCGTTATCACAGGCTCCCTCCCCTGGTCACGCTGGGGATCTCTAGTTTGGTGGTCTTGATTAGTTCCTTTTTGTTTCACCATGACTAACTTTCCCCCATTCACTCCTTTCTTCTTACCATTGTCCATTTAGACAACCATCTGGAGATGTCTCGTTTTCTCTGTTGACCTCTTAATTTATTTCTTAAACTGCCAACAGATATGTAAGTTGGACCAATTCCAAATGGTTTTTAGAGCAGCAAGAGGGAGTTTTATACTGACTAGCAAAAGACAACTTTACTATTTGTTTATGGCAAGGGTCAGAAGGTTAGCTCTTAGCACACCAACCCAACTCTCTGCAAATGATTTCCTAGTCAGGCCACCAGAGGTGTAGAGTTTCTGAAATATTTGGGAGATGTAGACTCTTGGTTAGTTTCACTGTTGTGTCTGGGCTTTAGAGGAAGGTTTTCAAGCGGAAGGATATGTAAGGATTCTGATCATCTCATTTATTTGGAGGTAATGGGAATCCCATTTATAAGCTTGATCAGGTTAGCAGTAACTTAAAAGTCGTATCATGGGTGTCCTGTTCAACATAGACATTTCAGTCATGCCATTTTCAAGGAGAAATGGCCTGACCATTTGATTATTAACTAACATTCTTCTTGAGATAGTAGCTAAGTGGCATGCAGCCCACCATGCATCATATTTAAGGAGGAAGTAGTGATTTTTGTTACTGGTTTCTGCCTAGCATAAAGGTTTTCCTGAAAAGGCTATCTATAACTTTAGAGATCTGCTTCACTCTCTAGTCCTGCAACAAAGTGACTGGGGTTTTGGATAATTATTCTACATTGCCAGCTGCTGATTTTCTCCACTGTTGAGGGAACTGGACAGGATGGCCGCTCAGGTCCCAACTAACATTTTAAGAGTCCAACTCCTTTTAGAAGTGATTATGTTGCGAAAAACACTAGTTACCTGAAGATGAAGGGGAGCACAGAAAAAAGAAGGAATGGATTTGAAGTTGGATCTTAGATGTTAGAAGTAGCAGCACCCCTGTGGAGTCTTGCTCTCCCCCTTAGAGCTCAGGACCTGCAGCGTGTCATGTGATGAGATTCATCTCCAGTGATTCTGTAGGACTTGAAATAAGTCCACAGATGAGACTGGCTAGTGACAATGTATTTATCCTATCTCATGAAATCTAATTTTAAGTAAAAGTCTAGATTTGAAATGTAGTATTCTTGGTTTTAAAGAATTTTGAACAGCATCTTATATTCATCAAAAGGTTTATATAGGGATGTGGGAGCAGACAGCCAAGTCCTTAGTTCTTAAGATGCTGCCTCAGTTAAATTGTGTTTATTTCAATCCTGTATTTGTGTAATAAAACCAGTTAGCAAACTAGCCAGTGTGTTTGCTCCAGGGGGCTATTTATCAAGTTTATAATGGAAGGACAAGCACTTGGTAACATTGCAAAAGAAGACTTCATTTCCCTTTGTAATTACAACTGTAAAATAACTTCCCTAAACCCAAATTGCTATTGAAGACTAGAAAAGGCAATTCTCAGTGAGTGACAGTCTCATTTCTGCTTAATTGAGCAGTAGTCAATTTCTTTTTGTAGCCAATGGGATTATGATGGTAGGAACACAGACACCTGAGCTAAGCTTTGCTGGTCCTCACCCGTTGATTCCTCTGTCCACCACGCAGGATGGGGTAGCCAGCAGTGCTCCCTGAAGCACTATCAGAATTTTGTAGGTTACTAAGGAAAGTAGAAAGTTATCGCAGAGGATAACTGTATCATACAGTATCTGCTCCAATTATAAACAGGCTGATATGAATAGCCTGGTAGGTTGATACGAACAGATCTTTTTATATGCTGAAAAATCTGAGCATTAAATTTAATCAATATTAGTACATGACATGGCTAGATTAGGCAGTTATTTGCCTTCATGCAGACTATAAAATGCTGCCAATTATCCTCCCATATTGTCTGTCTCACTTTTAAAAAGGCTATTACTACACTATAAGTAATAGTAGGTTAGGAGACCGTAGCTGTTTAACTTTTGTTTTAATTTAGAAATTTTTAGTTGAGTATTGTGGTTCCTACCTGTAACCCAAGCACTTGGAAGGCTGAGGCAGGAGGAGTCTGAGGCCAGTCTGGGAAGACTGTGTCTCAGAAAAAAAAAGAAAAAAGAAAGAAGAAATTCTGGTCATACTGCCATTAAAAACCAACTCATTTTTAACCATACATACAGAACTAAGTTAAGAGGAAACATGCATCTATAATGTTTCTTAAATAAAATCAACGTCCTGTTACAAGTGTCTACTGCTAATCTTCCTGAATCTGATGTCCATCATGTTCTAGTTGTGGTCCTTGGGCAGCCTCTTTAGGCTGCATCTTAGCTCAGCATCTTTATTTGTGAAGTGGCAATAATAGCTCCCAACTCCTAGGGAGGTTGTGGGGATTAGGTAAAATAAATATGAAAAGTCTACAGAACAGCCCCTGGAATTGACCAAGTACTTTTTATGTCTATTAATCTTATTGTACTTTTTAAAATAAACACTTTATTATAAAACATTTCTAAATATAAATGAAACTCAAAAGAGTTGTACTGTCAACATCTTTGAGCCTAACATTTGGATTCCATCATTTGTTGTTGTAATTCATACTAAGAAAGGTATACCAGTACATTTCAGTGTTTAATATCTTCGCATGCATATCATTGACTAGAATTTGATATTTGCATAGAAATCTGTTTATTCTGGAGATAAAATTTATATAGAATGATATGCATAGATTTAAATTTTTTTCATTTATTTTTATTGTATTCACCCCATTATCCTTCCTTCTCCCCCTTATTCTCTTCCTCTTGTCTAATAATAATATTCTTTTTACTTTTATACTTTTGTGTTATTTGGGGGGGGCTTTGTTTTTATTTTAGATTCCACATGTTAGGAAAATGTTATATTTGTCTTTCTCAAACTGTCTTATTTCACTTAACATGATTCTATGTCATCTATTTTCCTGCAAATGGGCATAATTTCATTCTTCTTTATGGATGAAGAATATACCATTGTGTATAAGACGTGAAAACTATGATGAATATATAAATCTAAAAAATTATTATAGAAAAAACATATTGCCATTAACCCTCCTCAAAATACTCCCCCTTGGTTCAAGCACACTTTTCCCCTCATTCTTTCTGCTTGCTGAATAGTTGTGGAAATCCTTTTTCGTGAGCGTCTCTGCTGCTGAGGCATCTCAGCGTTCTCCACTGACTCAAAACATTTACTCTTCGTGGTTGTTTTGACTTTGAAGAAGAGCCAGAAGTCACACAGTGCCCGATCCAGTAAATAAGATG